GAAAAAAACATCAGCATTTTAATACAGAAGTAATGTCTGACCTCTCTATGTTATCAAAGCTAACATGAAGGACTTTGTTTATAATCAAGTGTTTAAAAACTGTAATACCATATACTGAGCACAGTAGTTTCTGAAAACAGCAATACTGCGGCATCTAAAAAATGTTTAAATGTCATTAGATATCTGTTGTGGCTTACATGTATGACTATAAATGTTACTGAATTAGCAAAATAAGAATGTTTGTTGCATTAACCACATGTATACAATTATTTAAATTATATAAAAAACAGGATTCTCAATCTCCTGCTTCATGTCCATGGGAAATTGTTTATCAGGTATGAAGTGTGACTTGTACAGCTGTGTGTCATTTCTATATCATGCAGACAGTAAGCAAGGACCTGTAGCTTTTAATAAGGTTGTTTCAGAGTTCTTGAACTGCAGAGAACAGGACATGGGAGTTCATTAAATTGCAAGATGAATCTTTGGAGACCTGATTTTTAAAATGTTATATTAAAAAACACAGGGGCATGAATGAAAAGGGAGGAACAGGAGAATTTTCTCTCACCGCACTCATGTTGATCCGGTTCTGCTGAGCGAGTATGATTTCTGGGGTGTCAGGCATAACATGAATCTGGGTCTTGTCCTTCTCCCAAGCCTCAGTATACAGGCGCTGCAATGAGAAAAATCAAAAAGAGTCAATAAGGAACGATTCAAATCAGGATTAATAGGGACATGTGCGCCACAATCTTGTCGCTCAAAACCACCACCAGCTATGCAGCGTGTCATATATCCGACAGTGGTCCATTTTAAATTTTACTGATTAACTGAAACATGCTTTTAGAGTATTGTACAGCACTATGGTGTTGGAAAGCACCACATGTTTGTCTGCACCTGTGGTTGGAACCAAAACACTAGCAAATGCAACTGAAATGAATGCAATTTATATAGTAATCTCTTAAAATACAGTCTGTACACAAGCAAAAAATTTATAGATATATTGTGTTAGCTGAGATGTGAGGTATCAGGCACAATCTCAAACATTTGACTACAAAGTTTAGATAGTAACCAGTAGCACTACTACTATATTAACTCGATCAAAATGAAGGATTATTAAATGAGGATTTTAACTGGAACTGTCAAGCACATCACATCGCTAATCATTTCTATTCTGGACCTCGTCTGGGTTCTTCAGGCATCCACATGGCTTTCGTTTCCTTTAGTTTCTAGCAGTGCAGAAAGGCTGCATGCTGACCCAGCGGAGAAAAGAAAGACTACCTTGTTCAGGTTAAGTGCATTGGTCTTGGCCAGGACAACCTCCATGGAGTCCATTTTGCTTGTGAATTCCAGTGTACAGGGATGCTGGCGGTACTTCCTCTCACTCAGGATCTCTGAGGCCTTCTTGGCTTTCTCAACATCCAGAGAGCCAATGGGGACCCATCCCACACCCCTCATCCATTCCATGTCAGCCTTGTAAACAGCCTGGAGGTGGATACAGGGAAAAAAAATGCCTGTGGATTTTCGATAATGCAGTTTATGGAAATACGTGGGCTAATATTTTAATTTTAATGAAAAAACACCCAATTCAGATTCTTAAATGTGAATGGAGATTATGGATAAATATAAATAAGAAAACACAGATGCATGTAAATATAGACATATTTTTAATGATATTAATAACACCTTCATCCACCCATGATCGATAAGGTCCACCTCCTCCTGAGGACCTCACAAAAGCAGGCCCTGTCCCAAAATGAAATGGCACAAGGTATGGCCAAGTTCATGAATGTTTGTTTGCTCTTCTCAAAGCAGGGTGTCTGTCAATTGCAGATTCAACGGGAAAGGGACAATATAGAACAGACACTCAAACCTAGCATGTCTTTGGACACCAGAGGAATCCATGCAAACACAGTGAGAATATGCAGACAGCACACAGACTGAAAGCCAAGAAGAGGCAGTAATGGTAACTTCCACGCCACTTTCGTCATCTTCATTACATATGAATTAAAGAAAACCTGCAAAGACGAGTAGAATAACTCTGAATGGCTACTTTAAACTGCCACTCTGAGATTTTTATCCCTGGTCCCAATGAACACAGTAGCACATTACTGTGCCATGTCACAGGTGGCCCTGGTGCCTTTCTGAATTATGGTCTGAATCCAGTAATGGCTGCAGGAATCAACAAAGAAATGTCTTGCTCTAAGGATATACTGTAGGAGGAGAAGGAGGGTTGTGACCAAGAACACACCATTGACATAACTTACGTCACTCTGGAGCTCATAGGCTTTCTTGGCCTGGATGACATCATTCTGGTCGGGCAGACAAGTCCACTGGTGCAGGTAATGTCTGTAGTCAATGTCGCTGACCTGGATCTGGTTTTTCTTGGCCAGGACAAAGCCCAGCATGTCTACTGGCAGGTTGTAACTTGTCTTGGACTTC